CGGCCATGCGGCGGCGGCGGCGGGGGGGGAGGCGGCGGCGGGAGAGGCGGCGGCGGGGGAGGCGGCGGCGGGAGAAGCTGCAGCCGGGGAGGCGGCAGGAGAGGCAGCGGCTGAAGAGGCGGGGGAGGCGGCGGCTGGAGAGGCAGCGGGGGAGGCGGCGGCGGGAGAGGCAGCGGCGGCGGCGGCGGCGGGAGAGGCAGCGGCGGGAGAGGCGGCGGGAGAGGCAGCGGCGGCGGCGGCGGCGGGAGAGGCAGCGGCGGGAGAGGCGGCGGGAGAGGCGGCGGGAGAGGCGGCGGGAGAGGCGGCGGCGGGAGAGGCGGGCTCATCGGCGGCGGCGGCGGCGATGGCGGCAAAGCCTCCAAACATGAGGGCTCGCCTGGGCGCGGCGGAGCCGAGGTTCATGTTCTCCTCCACAGGGTCGATCTTCTCGCGCTGTTGCTCGGAGAGGCCCGCCTTTGCAGTCTCGGCCGCGTGTTTGGCCGAGCCCTGCGCGTGCTGTGACTTGTGCCACGGAAAGATGTGCTCCGACATGTCGCCGTCGTGGTGGCCGCCATCCGCCACCGCATAGCGGTGCGGAGAGTACATGCCCAGCGAGCGTCCCTCCCGGTCGAGCCGCACCTTGTGCATGTTGCGCGCGCCGCCAGACTTGTGCGCGCCGACGTGGTCCGACACGAAGAGTGTCGCGTACTGGCATGGGATGCGCAGCATCGAGATGTTGAAGTTGACGCGGATCGACTCGTACGCCGCAGGGCCGAGCGGCGAGGGCATCGCGGTGTGGTCAAGTGCCATCTGCGTGGTCAGCTTGGCTGTGCTGTATGCGCTAATCTCCTCCGACACGAGCCAGCAAGCTACGAGGACCGCGGCTACGGAGAGGAGTCCGCCCACAGCGGTCCCCTCCGAGACGTCGACTGGGACCTTCCGAAAGAAGTGCGCGTCGCGCAGCCTGACCATCTCGGCGCGCCGGTCTCTGTGTTTGGTGGGTTCGGCTCCCGGAGTGTGAAGGGGGCTTTTGCGTGGCCGAGACGATCGCCTGGCTGTTCTTCACCTTTCTACCTACCTAGACGATCGAAGGCGCTCAGTTCAAGCGCGCCGCCATGCCAGATCTCGCCCCACGCCCCGACCAGACCGGGCAGTGCGTGCAGGAATGATGCAGGCATGATGGGTGGATGTGGTGTGAGCACGCCAGCGGCACCGCTGCGCACTCTCAGGCAGGGTCGCAGCCGCCTATCTCGTGAGGGGCGTGGGTCGGGGCGGGTGCGAGAGAGTCGAGGAGCGCGGCGCGTGGTAAAGTCGGTTTTCTGTGCAAGCAGGGAATGTTCCCGCTGCTGCTCTGCTGCAGCCTCCAGTCGCGGTGCGGCCTCCGCACTCTCGGCGTTCGCCTCTCGCCCTGCTGCAGCATCCGTTCCCATCTCTGGCTGCCGTTCGCCGAGCGCCTCCTCAAAGCATGCGAGAATCTCGTCGCTCTGAAGGTCAGTCTCGAGCACGTCGTCAGCAGCGCGGATGCTCGCCAGCACGCGGCCCGCCGTCGGTCGCGGTCTCGTCTTAGTTCTGGCAGCGTCGGCGCCGACCTACCTGCTCCCGCGCTGGCCACGCATCATGCTGCGCTTCGCGAGCGATCGCGTAACGGGAGGCTCGCTGGCTTTTTGTGGCTTTTTGGACTTTTGGATTCTCCCGCCCTCCCACCCCGGATTTTCAGTACATCGCACTCTCTCTTCCTCACCCCGCCCCCTTCCCATTCCGCAGCCTCGAGTCCGGAGCCCACCACCCATGCCACCACCACGCCTCTCGCGCTTTGCAGCACTCTGCCTCGCTGTGGCGCGCCGGCAGTGCTAACATGCTAATCCGCATCCCGCTGCTGCTCTGCTGCAGCCTCCAGTCGCGGTGCGGCCTCCGCACTCTCGGCGTTCGCCTCTCGCCCTGCTGCAGCATCCGTGCCCATCTCTGGCAGCCGTTCGCCGAGCGCCTCCTCAAAGCATGCGAGATCCTCGTCGCTCTGAAGGCAAGTCACGAGGACGTCGTCAACCGCGCGGAGGCTCCCCCGCAGGGCCGCCGTCCGTCGGTCGCGGTCTCGTCTTAGTTCTGGCAGCGTCGGCGCCGGCCTGCTCCCACGCTGGCCACGCACATCATGCTGCGCTTCGCGAGCAATCGCGTAACGGGAGGCTCGCTGGCTTTTTGTGGCTTTTTGGACGGCTTTTTTTGGATTCTCCCGCCCTCCCACCCCTCTCTTGGGTTTTTATTTCATCACTGGTATAAATAAAAGAGACCCAAAACGGCACGCGCGCCGCGCGCACGCTCGCTCACATCACCTCAACACTCACTCACACAGCAAATCAAAGATGCGGGCCCTCGCGCCGTTCGGTTCTTCGATCACAAGAGGGGCCTTAGCGAATCTCTCCACGGCTCATCCAACCCCGTGCTCAATTTCCCCTCAAGAGGTAGGTAGGTAGGTAGAAAGGTGAAGAACAGCCAGGCTCGGACTGGACACCAACGCGGTATGGGTGGACGCAAGACAGATGATGACGACACGCACGAGCGACACACAGACACAAACAAGCTCACAAGACACACAGCCAGCTGGCTGCCACACACCCTGAGTTGGCGTACACATAACTCAGGGCCACATTCCTCCTGTCGCCCCCCCCAGCACTCCAAGGTGCCAAGAGAAACAAACAAGGGCGAAATCAAAACAACAACAGGGGTGAGAAAAACGGCTTCGGTTACAACTCGCAATGGGCGGCCAGGGCCTCGCAAAGACGCTGGGCACGCACGAGGAGGAGGTCGCGGAGCTGCAGCGCCGATTCAACGCGCTGGCGGAGCAGCGCAAGGCCTCCTCCGAGAATCCCGCCCTGCTCTTCACCAAGGACCTGAACCTCGGAAGCTTTTCAGCGTCGAGGCTGCGCAACTCGCTCGCGCCGCAGAGCAAAGAGGAGACGGAGGCGGAGCTGAAGCGCCTTGACGCTCAGATCATCGACCTGAGGAAGCGGCACGATAAGCTGCACGACTCCAATTCGCGCAAGCGCAGGCAGGCGGAGCAGCTGTCCAACAAGCTCAAGGCGCTGCAGTTGCAAAAGTTCACGGGCGACGAGTCGCCGCAAACCCAGCTGGCGCGAGCAGAGGAGGATCTGGTGGCGCAGGCGCAGCGATACGACGAGGCGCATCGCTGCCGGCTCACTTATGAGCAGATCATCTCGCGGCTCAAGCGCGAGCGCGTCAACTACCCCGCTGAGCTGCAAACCATCGAGGAGAAGCTGGCACAAAAGGAGCGCGAGCTCGGGAGAGAGAGATCGCTGCCACCGACGGGCGGCCACCAGCGCGGCCGTCAATGCACGCCCCACCGTGTGCACGCCGCTCAGCGAGCGTGCGCGTGCGGACGCAGGAGAGCGAGTACGAGCAGCTCTTGCTGCTCTCGCACGACGCACACATGTCCAAGCAAGCCGCAAAGCAGGAGCTCTCCAAATTCGAGGCGATCATCGCCGAGGAGCGTAGGTCGCGAGAGGGCGAGCTGCAGCAGCGCCGCAAGGTGCTGCAGTCAAAGCAGCAGAAAGTGGACGAGCTCGACAAGAGCGAAAAGGCGCGAGCGTGTGCGGGGGGCCCCAATCCCCGGCCGATGATCTATGCAACCGAGCCGCCCCGCCCCGCCGAGCAGGAGCGCCGCGCTGGCCGGCTCGAGGCGCCGGGAAAGAGCGGGACGGAGTCGGCCCGGGCGAGCGCCGAGACGACCCTAAAGCTCATCGAGCTGGAGCGCCACAAGATCGCGGCGTATGAGGCGGCATTCTCCCAAATCAAGGACGCGACCGGTGTGGCCGACGTGAACGAGGTGATCCAAAAGTTCACGACCCAGGAGGAGACGCACCAGAGCTTGCTCGCAATGAAGAGCGATGCGGAGGGGAGGATCGAGGAGCTGCGCGAGGCGAACGCGCGCGAGCAGGCCGAGGTAGAGCGGCTGCAGCACGCGCTCGGCGAGGCGGAGCAAGCCAAGGGGCAGGCGGCCGCGCGGGGGCCAAACGACTCGCGCGACGCGACCGAGAAGGAGCGGCAGCGGTGGAAGCGGCTCTGGCGGACGCAGGTCAACGTCAAGGCGGCCGTGCAGCACCTCATGGACACCTTGGCGCCGGTCAAGGTGGACGACGAGAACACCGCGCCGCTCTCGGACGAGACGCTGCTCGACCACCTGAGGCAAATCGAGACGAAGCTGTCGATCGTCGCCGCCGCCTTCCTCGAGGAGTCGGAGCACCACGCCGAACTGCTCGGCCCGGTCGAGGCGGTGCCGCCCGAGGCTGCGCGCCGGATGACCCCCAGCAGCGGCTTCCGAGTGGCGCCGAGCCACGACGACGAGGCGGAGGAGGACGAGCGGTCCGGCCCGGACGACGACGAGGAGGACGTGCCAGACCGCTACCAGCTCAAAGAGTCGGCGCTCGCCCTGGTGGGCAGGAGCACGAAACGAGGGAAGAAGAAGAAGGCCACGGAGTGAGGGGGGGAGGGGGGGGGGTACTGGCGAGAGCGCGCAAGGCATCCCTCTGGCGTGTTGCGCGGGACTTTGGTGAGTGAGGCCGTGAGAGCAGGGATGGCAAGGCGTGAGGGCGAGAGGCAGCTGTCAGAGGGCCGCACTTGGAGAAAAGAAAGAAAAGAAAGAAAACAAAAAAGAAAGAAAGAAAACGGACAACCCAAGGCGCAAGGGAGGGATGGGACCTTGATGGGAGGACGGCACGCCGCCACCACACAGGGATTTTAAGGAGAGGGGTGTGGTGCGCTAGCCGTCGCCCACCCTTGGGCGTCCGCCTCTTCCTATCTCTCTTCGGACTTCGCAGTCTCTCCCCGATTCTCGCTGCAACCTTCAGAAAGAAAACAGACAACCCAAGGGGGAAAAGAAAGAAAGAAACAGCCAACCCAAGGGAGGGATGGGAGGACGGCACGCCGCCACCACACAGGGATTTTAAGGAGAGGGGTGTGGTGCGCTAGCCGTCGCCCACCCTGGGGCGTCCGCCTCTTCCTATCTCTCTTCGCAGTCTCTCTCCGATTCTCGCTGCAACCTTCAGAAAGAAAACAGACAACCCAAGGGAGCACTTGCGAGCACTTGGAGATGTTCGTAGAATTCTTTTTGCGAGCATCTGTTTGCATGGCGCTGGTGGTCGCCGCCGCGGCGCTCGCGCCCCCGGGCGCACAAGCGCGCTCGTGTCGGGCGAGCCGGCTCTCCGCTCCGGTCGCGATGCGGTCGACCCCCAAGGTGCCGTACAAGTTCCCGGGGATGGACGAGGCGACGTGGATCTCGATCTACTCGCGCATGTACCGCGAGCGGATTCTGCTGCTCTCCCAGGACATCGACGACGACTTTGCGAACCAGATGATCGCGACGCTCCTCTACCTCGAGTCCGAGGACTCCAAGTCGCCCGCCGCCATGTACTTCAACGTGGGCGGCGGCGTGATGAAGGCGGGCCTCGCCGTGCACGACACGATGCGGATGATGCCGTACGAGTTCCAGACGGTCAACATGGGGATGTGCGCCCAGGTGGCCGCCTTCCTCGTCGCCGCGGGCACCAAGGGCAAGCGCTTCGCCCTGCCCAACGCGCGCTTCCGCATGGAGAACCCGACGATCGAGCCAATGTACGACAACGAGGGCAAGCCCCGCACGCGCATCATGCAGGCGACCGAGATGCGGCTTGAGGTGGCGGAGGTGCTGCGCGACAAGCGGCGCGTGCTCGAGGGCTTCTCCTCCGCGACGGGCCGCTCCGCCGAGCAGCTCGAGCAAGACTTCAAGCGCGACTTTTACCTCGACGCGAACGAGGCGCTGCAGTATGGCTTGGTGGACCGGCTGCTGCTGCCCGGGGCTAAAAGGGAGGGGGCGGAGAAGGGGGAGATCAGCCCCGGCGTCGGCATCGGATAGCCGGCGCGGCGGGGCGGCACAGCGGCGGCAGCCGCCTTCAAACTCGTAGGACGAGACCTGTCTTGTTGTGTGGCGGTGCGCTGTCCTCCGGCCGCCGCTCTCGACCGCTCTGTCGCCTGGTGTGTGATCGGCGGCGGGCGGAATCCATTCCGTGTTTGAGGACGTGAATCGCCGAGACCCATTCGACTCCGCACAGATTCGCGGTGAGTACAAAATGCGCCGCATTCCGATCGATTCACACCGACCCGGACTCCATCCTGCATCATCGTCAACGTGCAAAACGTCCAACGACCTCGCAGCATTCCGGCTCGCCTAGTATACCGGCTAGAGTCCGGCTCCGCGCACCGCGGTTACCGGTGCTATCGCGCCGGCCCGCATTGAGACACGGAACGTGCATGCCATCGATTCTACTACGATGTCGACCAGACCAGACTCCGCCGACCATCCAGAAGGGCCTCGAGAAGAGCCAATGCACAAAGGCGTTGCGCGCGGACCTCGCCAAGGCGGTCCCGCGTCCACGAGGAGTCTAGGACGAGGACCGACGCCATCTGCTCCCGCGAACATCGGCGGCAACATGCGCGTCCACCGAGGGCGAGGCCATGCTCGAAGAGGCCATGCTCGAAGAGGCCAAGAAGGCAAGAAGGCAAGAAGGTGTCGTCAACAGGAGAACCGCGCCAACAACGAGGCGAAGGCCGCCGCGCAGACCGCGCGAGGCGAAGGTCGCGTCCGCCACGTCTCCCCGGCGCTCGAGATTCATCGAGACAGAGGAGCTCGTGCACGGCGCTGGAGTTGAGGACGATCTCGTTGTCGCAGAACGCAACTCCTCCGCGGAACGTGTGGCCGTGCTTCCCCTCGTTCTCGGCGAAGTACTTGCGCAGGTAGGCCGGCGTCTGGCCCTTGGTCTGCAGGATGTACGGCGTGATGATGTTGAAGATCGACGACTGCGCAGCCGTCGCTAGTCGACGGCCACACAAACCACTCGGGCACTGCAGCGGCGCGGTTTTACCCTTCACCGGCAGCGTGATCAGATGGCAAAGTGGCCCTGGGGGCGCGGCCAGGACACTTGTTTTTAGTGTTGGCAGTCTGTTTCTGTCAGTACTTTGGATACAGCTTGTGAGAGGTCACTGAAGACCTTCACGATGTACTCGTGCGCGAGCGCCCTGCCAGCGGTGGTCCCGGAGTGGAAGATGCCGAAGTCGTCCACGTAGATGACGACGATGAGTTTCGTGCTGTTGCGGGTGAGGACGAAGCAGCTCGGGTCCGCCTCGGACTGAACGAGCCCAGGAAACGCCTTGTTGATGGACTTGACGTGGTTCCACCAAGCGTTACCTGCGGACGGTGCGCCGTAGAGGTTGCCGACCTCGCACACCATGTCCTTCTCCTCGCCGGTGATGGGGTCGATGTAGCAGTACTCGGGCTTGCCCTTGAGCCCCTTCGGCATCTCGCAGTACCAGGTCTCGCCCTCCCCGCGCTCCGCCCAGGTGTACGCCATGGGCTGGTCGCACGTGATGAGTTCCATGTCCTCCTGCGCGGCCACGTTGAGCACGGTGCGGGTCGTGCCGTAGCGGACGACGCTCGCGAAGGTCTTGGTGAAGTCGACGCCGGGCCGCATCAGGTTGCCCATGACACAGCCGCGCCACTTGCACCGGCCGTCGGACTTCCGGGAGGCGATCTCCTTCAGCGGGAGGACGCGCACCTTGGCGGGGCGGCGCATGGGCTTGAGCGTGCCGTTCTGGATGAGGCCGAGGAACTCGGTGTCATACGCCTTGTACCACGCGTCGCGCAGCTTGGGGTCGCGGATGTTGGCGATGTCCTTGTAGTGCTTGGGCACGATGTTGTCCGGCATGGGCATGATCTGGCCGTCCACGCTCGACATGTACGCGACGCACTGGTCCGTGGTGTTGCGGTAGACCGACGACGATGGGGATGCGGCCGCCGCAGCCGCCCAGATGCCGAAGGGCGTGGCATTGGCGGCGAGGCGGGCGTTGAGCATGTTGTTGTACTCGCCCGTCGAGACGCCGCCGCGGCTGCGGGTGGTGCGCGGCGCAGGCGCACCCGCTGTGGGCGGGTTGACGTTGCCGTCGTTGGCCGGGTCTGGCATGATCACCACCTCCTCGTCGAGGGTCAGCCCCCCGGCGTGGTTGTCGGTGGTGGGGAGGAAGACGGAGTCGCCGCGGGTCACGTTGTTGTCGAGCGTAGCCTTGTCCGACTCGTCGGGCGTCTCGTCCGCGGTCACAGGCTCCGGCCACGCGCCCTCGATGTCCGTCGGGGTGAGGTCGGAGGTAGGAGCACGGTACTCGATGCCGTTCCAGAGCTCGTTGACGCAGAATGTCGCCTGCGTGGTGGTGCCGATGTGCCCCTTGCGCGGACCCTCGGTGATGACGTACTTCCAGCCGGGCGAAGTGCGCGAGATGCCGAGGAAGGCCGCCATCTCGCCCGTGGGTGAGACACCGTTCGCCACAAGGTGGGAGGGCGACTTGACGATCATCTTGCACGCCCACGGGTAGAACATGTTCATCTTGGGGCGCTGCCCGGTCTTGAGCTCGTACGCTGACTTGCCGGTGTCGCGCACGGCGAAGGTGGCGTTGGCGATGGTGGCCGCGTACACCCAGGCGTAGCCCCAGTACTGGTAGAGCTGGGTGGCGCCATGCCCCCCTGCGCGTGCCATCATCTCCCGCACGATCCTGCCGCAGGTAGCGTTCGCACGCTCGCACGCCCCATTCTGCCACGGCTCGTAGGGGCAGCTGTTGCGGAGGGTGATGCCGTACTTGAGGCAGAGCTCGCGCACGGCGCTGGAGTTGAGGACGACCTCGTTGTCGCAGAACGCAACTCCTCCGCGGAACGTGTGGCCGTCCTTTCCCTCGTTCTCGGCGAAGTACTTGCGCAGGTAGGCAGGCGTCTGGCCCTTGGTCTGCAGGATGTACGGCGTGATGGTGCTGGTGTGCTCGTCGACGACCATGAGTGCGTAGCAGTGCCCATCGACGCCTACCACACCCTTGGGCGACCAGAGGTCGTAGTGCGACGAGCCCCCGAAGCGAGTGGCCAGCGGCCGGCCGGTGCTGCGCCGCGCGTGGTACTTGGCGTTCGCCTGCAGCGCGGCGTCGTCGAGGCCCTCGTTGCGGTCCATCTTGGAGAGGTCTGGCACGCCGTCCGCGATCTTGCTGAGGTCCTTTAGCGCGTCGCCGGAGATGCACAGGGCGTGCCGCCAGAAGGTGCCATCCGTCGGGCGCCGCCCCGGCTTGCCGCGCACGATGGCCTTGGCGGCGTTGGCGCCGACGGATGCGCCGAGCGGCATCAGGTGGATGTTGAAGTCCTCCCCGAAGTAGATGGTCTGCCCGGAGGGGTAGTTGAAGCGTGGTGGGCAGAGGTCGAAGCGGACCACGATGTTCTGCGCCTTGCACTCCTTGACGCTGACGAGAGGCATGGCGAGTCCGGGCGCGTACAGCGCGTTCACCCACTCGGTGTTCACAACCTTGGTGTCCTGCGGCTTGGTCGGGTCAGCCAGCGCGAAGGCGTACGCGGTGCCGACGCCCTTCGCCTTGAGGTAGTCGTTGTTTGCGCATCGGATGTAGATGGGCTTCTCGGGCTCGCGCCACCCGTGAGGGAAGTAGTCGGGCGTCGGGAACATGTTCATGCCCGCCTTGGAGTCGACGCCAGCGGCATACGATCCCGGCATGTTCACACCGGCGGTCGTGTCGTACGCGTCGACGACCTTGACATGCCCGACAAGCGCGTGTGCCTGCATCGCGTCCATGCGCGCCACGTACATGGCGAGCATGATGCACGTGTACGAGAGGACTAGCGGGACCGTCTTGGGCACGTCGATGTCATTCACCGCGCGGAACATGTCGCCCGCGACCTTGCGGTAGATCGGCTGGAGCGGGTCCTCCTCGATGGCGTACTCTGCTCCGCCACCTGAGCCAGTCGCCGGCCCGGTGGACAGCTCGAGGGGTAGTGCGGTGACGGACTCGACCATCACGCCCATGTTCGAGGGCTCGTCCACGGCGTCGGCCACAGGCGTGCCGATCGAGGCAGGCGAGCCCATGTAGACCGGGATGAGGCACGCGAGCAGGACGAGTAGGATGGAAGCGCCGATGTACGGGCGAGGCAGCGCGGTGACGAACGAGGTGAACTTGTTGAAGACCGACGACCGCGCAGCCGTCTAGTCTACGGCCACACACACACACATAGTGTCCTTACCACCCCTGGACTGCATCTGCGCAGTTTCGTACCGCTGCGGCGCGGTTTTGCAAAAACCGTTCTGCAGCGGCGCGGTTTTGCCCTTCACCCGCAGCCTGGATTGATAGTCATTGTGGGTGTGGGGGCCGCGGGCCAGGACTTTTGTTTGAACAAAGTTTTGACAGTACATTTCTGTCGGGCCTTGGAACAGCTTGTGAGTGGTCACTGAAGACCTTCACAGTTGGTGGCGGCGGGGCAACGATCCCCGGGACATTACGACAACATGTCGTCGACGGACAAGCTGGTGATTCCGGCCTACAAACAGAGCTCCGAGCGGGAGTTCAACGAGTGGTTCCGCAACCTGCGGACCGCGGCGAAGCAACACAAGTACCTCCTCGACATCATCGAGGTGGGCACCATCCGGCCGGGCGCGGAGCGCGAGGCCGAGGCGGTCGCGCTGCACGTGCGCTACAAGAACATCGGCACTGCGGACGGCCTCATCCCGGCCATGATCGACAAGTTCTTCAAGGACCTGTCGGTGACTCTGTCGCGCCAACTCTACGGTGCGCTGCAGAACGCCGTCAAGGACGACGACACGCTCGCCGAGATGTTGGCGGACGAGGACGCCGACCACTACGACGACATCAAGAAGGGCATCGCGGCGATCAAGTCGCTCATCGAGTCGGAGGACACGAACTCCAAGAACGTGCGCACGAAGGCGCTGCGCGCGGATCTCGAGAAGGCGTACTCCCCCGACGCTCTCAAGGACCTCACGTCCGCGAGCCTCGCCAAGTTCAAGACGGGCATCGAGCAGGCGAACAAGTTGCTCAAGGACTCCCAGTGGCACCTCCCCGACGAGGTGATCGAGGAATACATCCTCGACGCGATCGCCGCCAAGGGGGCCACGCTCGGCGCAAACATGCGCGTGCAGATCGGCATACAGCGCCAACTCGCCGCGCAATCGGGCAAGACGTACAGCCTCAAGGCGTCCACGCTCGCGATGCAGGGCATCCTCGACCAAGACAACGCGGACCGCGCCAACGAGGCCAAGGCGGCTGCGCAGGCGGCGTTCGAGGCGGAGATTGCCTCGCAAGGCGTGCTCAAGGAGAAGCTCGCGGCCGCCGAGTCCCAGGTCGCCGCCCTCCAGGCGCAGATCAAGTCCGACAAGGGCGGCGGGGACCGCGGCGGCCGCGCAGCCGCTGGGCGCAAGCCGTGCCCCCACTGCAATGGGTTGCACGGTGGCAAGTGCATCGGCGACCTCATCTGCAAGGGGGTCCCTGTCGCCAAGGTGCTCGAGGAACTCCCCGACCGCATCGACCACGAGACGAAGGTGCGCATGGCCCAGTCCTCGTACAAGAAGGTGTGCGCCAAGTCCCCCGGCCGCACCCTCCCGCACGACCCCTTCAAGAAGTCGGACTCCACCGCTACCGACCACGAGGAGGTGCGGGCGGCGCTGGCCGACTCTGTCACCCGCACGTTCGACCCGGACGGCATCGTCGGCGGCTTTGTCGCTGGCGTCGGCACCGACCAGGTCGAGGACACCTTCCCCGACTCCAACCCCACCGACACGCCCGCCATCCTCAAGGCCAAGACGGCGGCGCGCAATGCGGCGGAGGCACGGGCGCGCGGCGGGCTGTGGGTCAAGTTCACCTCGTTCGTCACCGCGCTGCCTCGCCCGTACATCGGCGCTTCCATCCTACTCGTCCTGCTCGCGTGCCTCATCCCGGTCTACATGGGCTCGCCTGCCTCGATCGGCACGCCTGTGGCCGACGCCGTGGACGAGCCCTCGAACATGGGCGTGATGGTCGAGTCCGTCACCGCACTACCCCTCGAGCTGTCCACCGGGCCGGCGACTGGCTCAGGTGGCGGAGCAGAGTACGCCATCGAGGAGGACCCGCTCCAGCCGATCTACCGCAAGGTCGCGGGCGACATGTTCCGCGCGGTGAATGACATCGACGTGCCCAAGACGGTCCCGCTCGTCCTCTCGTACACGTGCATCATGCTCGCCATGTACGTGGCGCGCATGGACGCGATGCAGGCACACGCGCTTGTCGGGCATGTCAAGGTCGTCGACGCGTACGACACGACCGCCGGTGTGAACATGCCGGGATCGTATGCCGCTGGCGTCGACTCCAAGGCGGGCATGAACATGTTCCCGACGCCCGACTACTTCCCTCACGGGTGGCGCGAGCCCGAGAAGCCCATCTACATCCGCTGCGCAAACAACGACTACCTCAAGGCGAAGGGCGTCGGCACCGCGTACGCCTTCGCGCTGGCTGACCCGACCAAGCCGCAGGACACCAAGGTTGTGAACACCGAGTGGGTGAACGCGCTGTACGCGCCCGGACTCGCCATGCCTCTCGTCAGCGTCAAAGAGTGCAAGGCGCAGAACATCGTGGTCCGCTTCGACCTCTGCCCACCACGCTTCAACTACCCCTCCGGGCAGACCATCTACTTCGGGGAGGACTTCAACATCCACCTGATGCCGCTCGGCGCATCCGTCGGCGCCAACGCCGCCAAGGCCATCGTGCGCGGCAAGCCGGGGCGGCGCCCGACGGATGGCACCTTCTGGCGGCACGCCCTGTGCATCTCCGGCGACGCGCTAAAGGACCTCAGCAAGATCGCGGACGGCGTGCCAGACCTCTCCAAGATGGACCGCAACGAGGGCCTCGACGACGCCGCGCTGCAGGCGAACGCCAAGTACCACGCGCGGCGCAGCACCGGCCGGCCACTGGCCACTCGCTTCGGGGGCTCGTCGCACTACGACCTCTGGTCGCCCAAGGGTGTGGTAGGCGTCGATGGGCACCGCTACGCACTCATGGTCGTCGACGAGCACACCAGCACCATCACGCCGTACATCCTGCAGACCAAGGGCCAGACGCCTGCCTACCTGCGCAAGTACTTCGCCGAGAACGAGGGAAAGGACGGCCACACGTTCCGCGGAGGAGTTGCGTTCTGCGACAACGAGGTCGTCCTCAACTCCAGCGCCGTGCGCGAACTCTGTCTCAAGTACGGCATCACCCTCCGAGGCCGAGGTCCCGCGTGCCGATGAGGTAGATGAGGCAGCGCTCGGCGGCGGCCTCGATGTTCGCGTCGGGCCATCCGCCGGCTCCTCCTCAGGCTCGGGGAGGCGTGGCCCTCCCTGTCGGAGATCACGGTGGCCCGGCTGCCACCGCGACGGGTCTCCCCCCGGCGAGCTCGTACGTCCCGACTCTACTCGCAGAGGTCGCGCCAGCTCATCCCTCGCCTCCTCCTCCGACACCTGACCACTTGGAGCACTTGACCACGAATTCCTTCTTTCCAATTCGCGAAATGTCGCTTCGCCGACTCTGCGTCCGCCGGGCCGCAGCGCCCTCGCTCCGCTACGCGGCGGCCGGCTGGCGTGCGGCGGCTCCTCCTCGGCGGCTTTGCAGCAGTGCAGCCAGCACCGATCTCGACAGCGCGGCGGACAGCCTTCACGAGCCCGACGAGATCGACGCGAAGAGTGTGCAGAGCCCAGCGCTCGCGCGCGCGGTGCGCCTCCTTCTGGCGCAGGAGTCGCAGGGCGTGGCGGCCGACGCGGCGGGCGACGCGCTGATGCAGTCCGTGCTGCTCAACCCGCGGCTGTGCGACGCGATCCTCCGCTTCTTCGAGGGCCAGAAGGACCTCGTCGAGGCCTCCGCCGGCCGGGATGCCGACGCCGCCGTCGGCGAGTCGTACGCGCTGCTCATCTACGCGTGCGTCAAGCTGCGCCGGCTTGACCAGGCCTTTGTGCACTTCGACACGATGGTCCGGCGCGGGCTGGAGCCCGACCCGCGCGTCTTTGCCGCGCTCCTCAAGGGCTGCGGCCGCGCGAGGCAGCTCAAGCGGGGCGAGCGCTTCTTCGAGAGCCTCCTCGACGCGAACGCGGCGGGGGCGCGCAGCGCGACGGCGTACAACGCGCTCATCAACATGTACTCGCACCAGAAGCAGCGGCCCGCCACCCTGCTCCCGCACGAGGTGTCCAACGCGTGGCGCGCCGTCGACCGCATGCGCGAGGCGGGCG